GTATGTCTTCTGAATTTAATGACTACAGGTTATTCCAATTTTTTATTCATTCTTTGTGGATTGAATAGTTTGTGTGGATTTAGTAGTTAATATGGAATCTTTGTTACCGCTTTGGCAAATATTTGGGGTTTATTCATGTTCTCTGTAATTGTGGTTTCCGTGGTGTTTTGCAGGGTCAAAACTAAACTGGATTGTATTGTAATTTTTCTTCCCTTTGTGGTTGTGTACGGATTGTAGCCATGCCGCTGAAGTGTCGTCACCATGACCATTAGAGATGCACTGAAGCGGATTGCGAAATTCCCGTTTACGCCGCCGTTCTTTACATCTTTGGTGTTGTTCTGGCCAAGGAGTCCTACAAAACTCTCATGCTCCTCTCACTCTCTATATTCGTCTGTGTCTGTCTCCCAGTGCTGGCAATTATTGTGTCTTTCTCGCCCTCACCGTCGCGCATCGCAGGGTCGATAAAGTTGCCCCCACACACCAAACCTCACTGCTGCGTAATCGGAGTAGTCTTTTGCCACTGTAAGTTCTCTTAGTTAGACTTCTTAGTAATTTGGCATTTACTGATGTCAATGTATATGAGAAACAATCTTTCCCTTTTCTTCCGAGGGCTAACTATTTCCCTTGTGTGATGGAGTCTGATAGTGGCCTACTGTTTGTTGCGTCTAGAGGTTGGTAAGCGAAGATCGATATTCTTAAATAATTTTAAGTACATACCAGCAGTTCTTACCTTTTATGTTTCTAATTCTTAGTTATGAAAAACTTGAAAGCCCGCCTCATTCGCGTGGATGGGCATCATGCCACATTTGGCAGGAGAAGGAAGTTTGTTTTGATGGTACGTCGGAATCATCGAGTACAGGTTGTTTTAGTCCCAAGTCTGGCTCTCTCTGCCTTTTGATTAGCTTTTTATGATAGTAAGAATATGTTTGTTAGCTTTAGATCTTTTGATTTTGCAGCTTAACAATTGAATTATCTACAACTTTTCTTATACACGATCTTACATCAGAGTCTGAAGTAATTACTAGGTTGGATTCTGGAATGGCCTTGAGTTCAAAATAGGATATATGTTTCCAGGGGTTACTTGAAACAAGTTTCCTGAGTGGCTTCCTGGGGAAAATCCTCCATCAATACCTTCTCCTGGTTTGGAAAGAACAAAAACATAATGGTAGTAGTAGTTGAACCCAAAATCTTCTAAGGTGGTTTGGGAAGCCTTTAATACACTACATTAACACACAAGGTATAGATCCAAATATCATTGAGACCCACTGTTCAATTACAGCGGTTGGATGAGTGGAAGATGATCATCACCATCAGTAGTCCCTTTTGAATGGTAAAATACAGTTAAATTCCCCCGTTTGTAGTCCAATGGGATAGAAGCATGAAAGAGAAAGAAGAAACAACTTAGCCTGAGCACTATTTCTTGACTCTATATTCCTCTCTAGATTTGGGCCCTAACAATTCTTGCATTCTTCCCATTATAGCCTCCTAATTCATAAACACAGAATAATTCCAAAGACCAGTATAATTTGTACTCATCTTTTACGAGAATTGCAAATGGAACATTTTTCATTACATTAACTGATGTGGTCAGTTTGCTTTCTCTTTTGTATGTCGAAGGCAAACACATGCTCAAATACCTGATCACTTTTAAGTCAACGCCCGAATATATCACAAATGAGACTGTATACGCAGAATATGTAAGAATGTCGTTCTTATTTGGTGGTTACTATTATATCAACATATTTTGCTTATGGTGGGTGTGATTATAAAGAATTTGAAACTCCTAAGGAATGTAAGCACCATCTTTTGTACCCCTTTGGCTCTTCTTTGTATAGTGTGTGATTCCTTTTTTCTCTAGGCTGATATTAAGCATTCCACTATCCAGTGAATGAATGTGCCTAAGTAATTAAAAGGATAATTGGCACGGGGACACAATGACAGATTTGATTATTGGTGCTTGGATAGGCGAAATACCCGAATATTTGAAAATGTTTGATAAAACTGATGATTCTACTTTTGAAGCACTATTAACTGGTTTCACAACAATACAACACATTGATATGAAATCAAAATCATTTGTGCAATTGAAACTTCTGGTTTATTGCATAATATCATTTTCATCGCAATTTATTATGCATATAGTGAAACACAATACACGTTGAGGTTCTATACTCAACCAGCCAAGCGGTCGGACCCAATGCTAGTGCAAAACAATAATATAGAGAATGGAAGAGGAGCAATTAAAAAATTGTTTCTGTTTTGGTAGATTGTTCGGGGTCGGATCTCCTTATTTTTTTCTTCTTCTGCGGGACAAGACATGCACGTTTAAGGTTTGGAGCTGTGATTGGGTTATTTTTCGGTGATTGCAATATTACACCCGATTCTTCAGATTATCACGCTATGGGATCCACTTTGTTACTACTAAGAATAGACTACTTACTATCAACTATTCCGTTTCTACCCAAAAAAAAAATTATCAGTTGTTCAGGACTTTCATTTAATGTATGATGTATCTGTTGAAGAAAACTATCTATTCTTCCTCAAATTACTCAATTTCATATTCTACATTCCTTCCTTACCAAATAAATGCATCAAAATATGTATTCCACTTATTCGCGAAGCGAGGGAAGTATGACTAGTATACAGGGGCGGAGCTAGCCCCTTATTAGGGGGTGCAATGGCACACCCTTGCTTTGGAGAACCACAAAAAATAGTAGTACTAATAATGAACAATGAACTCCAAATCTTATTGTTAATTCGTAAATTTTTAGTATCCAACCATGATTGATTATCTAAATTAATTTAATCTACTAATTTCTATATTAATACAGTTTATTAAGATGGTTATGACGTGTGGATTATTAGAGAAAATCAATAACTTTGTACGACAACGATAGTCTAAAGAGAAAATTGGTTTCTGTCAATGTATTTGCTTATGGAGAGCGGATCAGGTCAGTAACTCTTATGTGAGTAACCATCAGTAATTTTTCCACATCCGCATGACATCAACATCCTCTCTCTTTTGGAAAGTCTTTTATCCTTTCCCCTTTAATTTTTAACAGACGATTTCTCTCTCGTTTTAAGTCGAAATTTAATTTTTTTTGCACACATAAATCGGACTAAATATGCTTTTTAAAATGATATTCACTTTGATATATTTTTTAGTACAAAAAAATTGAATAATTTTTTATCGGTCATTACCATATGGTATGCTCATATTTAATACCATATGGTAAGAAAGCGTACCATGATGGTATGAACATACCAATATGGTAAGAAGGTTGAATGCATGATAGTAGGAGTATACTAACTGTCATTTACGACTTTCATCATTGTTTACCACAAGTTACCACCCACATACAATAGTGGTAAAGTATGGTAATTTTTTGTCCAGTATTTTTTTCACCCAGAAATTTGTAGATCCAATAGATCATGATGAACTCGTTCCTTCTAAACAAACGTTTTAAAAAACGACTTAAAAACGAAGAAGTTACCATATGGTATGTAGTTGGTAAAAAAAAGTTTCTCGAGATATTTTGAAAATTGATCTCATTTTGTAGAGCACAACGAACTCGTTCAATGTGTGCAAAAAAATTTGAAATCCGATTTAAAAGGAAGAAGATATGAGCCGATTATAAAAACTAGTGAAAATAAAATGTCTTTAATTGACAACCCTTAGATCTGGATTTTCTGGGCCCACTTAGATCTAAGGTCCAGATTTAGTTACTCATAGATCAGTAACCAATGGTTACTCCCCCTATCCTAACCCTGCTTATATTATTTTTTTTAATGCACTCTCTTGACTGAAATTCTGGCTACGCCTAGACAAAAATCGAATAACTATTGGATGAGAAAAAAATCTTAAAGGGTTAATTGCATGGTTGGTCACTGAGATTACAAAAAGTATTCATGTTTGGTCACTAGAAATATTTAAATTCAATCTTGGTCACTCAAATTAGTTAAATGGTTTAAGTTTGGTCACTCTCCGTTACCTTCCGTCAGTCTCCGTTGACACCGTCAATTATTTGCTGACGTGGCTAACAGACTCACCTAGTCACCTATTTTTGACAAAAATAAAATAAAATACAATCCTGCCACGTCATAAAAGCTTGCCCTATCATAAAAACCTGACCAATGTGACCTAACCCATTAACTCATGATCTGACCTACCCCAAATTAAAACCCAAAATTGACCAATCCCCGAAATCCCTTGCCCGAGTTTTTGGAGAAATTATTGGGTACACCGGGAGTACCACGTAGGATTGGTGATGTGGTACTCCCGGCAAATCACAGTAGGGCACGTGTCCATTTATTAAATCGTTAGTTAATTAATTGAGCACTTTCCTTTTCCCAATTTCAATCTCCACAGTTCTTTCGTTTTCCAGGAATTAAGACGGCACCTCCTTTCAAGAACACCAACCGGTGCGGCGGTGCCGTAAAACAATCAAGTTGGGCTCCTCTCCGGCGCCAACATCGCCCGCTCCTCTGATTGAAAAAAAATTCCCCAAGCTTCAGTGCAAACCAAAAACCAATTTTTCTGCTTGTTTCAATACAGACGGGGTATACTAGAGATGCCTAATCAAAGTATGTAGTTGGTGCCGCCGCCGGTAACATAGAGGGTCCGACCCGCTTAGAGGGTTCGACGCCGACCCCATTAGTGGCCGGAACAGGAAGTTGGGATGGATATCGTTTTGGATTTGGCGGGGAGGAGGGTGCATACGGTGGAGGGGAGCTGGGCAATGTTGGTGCCGGAGAGGAGTTCTGGCCGATTGTTTGGCGACTTGATGGAGCTGCCGTCTAAATTTCTGTAAAAGAAAAGAACAAGGGATATATTGGAATCGGGATTCCTGGCAAAGAAAAGAACAGAGCAATTGGGGTTAGGGTGCGAGAAAGAGAAGGAGTAGTGAAATTAATTAAATTGGAATGGGCTCAATTAATTAACTTGTAATTAAGAGGGACACGTGTCATATTGTGATTTTCCGGGAGTACCACATCACCATCCTACGTGGTACTCCCGGTGTACCCAATAATTCCTCGAGCTTTTGTCCCCTTCCCCTCGAGACCTCTCCGCCTTTCGAATCTCTCTATCCTCCTCCCTGTTCCCACCTTCTTCTCCTCCCTTCCCTCTCCTTTTCCCCACCAATCCTCCAACATGCTTCACAGCTTGCTCCTCCAATCCCCAATCTCCCCCAATTCCGCTCCCTCCTCCATGAAAACCAAGCGCGTCGACCGCGACCTCGCCGGCGACGACAACCCTTCCGTCAAACGCGCCAACTTCTCCGCCGACGAGCAGAGCGAGCCCGCAGAAGAAGACCCCTCCTCCTCCGCCGCCGCCGTCTCCGTCGTCGAAGGCGGCGAGTCCATCGGCCTCCGCCTTCTGGGTCTCCTCCTCCAATGCGCGGAGTGCGTCGCCATGGACAACCTCGACAACGCCACAGATCTCCTCCCCAAAATCTCTGATCTTTCCTCCCCCCTTCGGCTCTTCCCCTCAACGCGTCGGCGCGTACTTCGCCCACGCGCTCCAGGCTCGCGTGGTCAGCTCCTTCTTAGGCACCTACAACCCCCTAACCTCCAAGAGCCTGACGATGAGTCGATGACCCAGTCGCAGAAGTTCTTCATCGCCTTCCAGTCCTACAATTCGATATCGCCGCTCATTACATTCTCCCACTTCACCGCCAATCAGGACATCTTCCAGGCTCTGGACGGCGAGCATGGATGGAATGGAGGGCGAGGAAGTAGAGAAGCAAAGCGTGGGAGGAATGTGGCCGGGACGAATCAGATCCTTCGGCTGGAAGTCGGAGAGAGGAAGATGGTGGAAGTTGAAGGGAGTGGAAAATCGACGAGGGAGATTGGAAGGGACGATGGAGGAATCGGGGATGGTCGATAGGAGGGATTGAAGAGACTGGTGGGGAAGATCGGAAGATTGGCCGACTATTTTTCACCAAGAGAGCTAGAGATTGGAGAAGAAGGGAAGAGGGAGTTGGTGGTGCTCGTGGCGTTGATGTTTTTGTCGAAGGAAGGAGAAGAGGGGAAACCGGCGGATTGGACAGGTCGGCGACAATAGCTTCTTCCAGTCGTGTTCTCCGGGAAAGGGATTTTGAGGATTGGTCAATTTTGGGTTTTAATTTGGGGTAGGTCAGATCATGGGTTAATGGGTTGAGTCACATTGGTCAGGTTTTTATGATGTGGCAAAGCTTTTATGACGTGGCAGGATTGGATTTTATTTTATTTTTGTCAAAAATAGGTGACTAGGTGAGTCTGTTAGCCACGTCAGCAAATAATTGACGGTGTTAACGGAGACTGACGGAAGGTAACGGAGAGTGACCAAACTTGAACCATTTAACTAATTTGAGTGACCAAAATTGGATTTAAATATTTCTAGTGACCAAACATGAACTCTTTTTGTAATCTCAGTGACCAACCATGCAATTAACCCAATATTAATTTGTCCTTTTTTTGTGAGATGGAAGAAGGAAACAATGGACAGGAAGAGAAAGAAGAGGGATAAAATTGAGGGGAAAAAATTGTCAGAATATATGAGGCGAGTGTACTAAATCCTAATTACAATTTCATGTCTTCAGAATTTGGCCAAATCACCACGTTGTTTTTGTCCGGCCGAACATGAATTTTTTCCCCAATTAACACATTTTCCGGATTTAAACCCAATTCCCGCATTAAAATTTTAACAGGTGGCATTAGAGTGAGTTTGGTGAGTTTTGGTCTCATATCTATCCACTTATTTACTAGCGAGTTGGTATAATTGTGATCCGTTATTCACCCACATATTTTTGCGATTGGCTTGAGTGGTTGGCGGATGGGTGCAGTTGAGTTGTGGGTTAATCCGCAAAGGCGAATCTCCAACTATCCATTAAGAAAGTTTACTAACATTAATAATTTCTTTGTAAAGTAGTAAGATTCTATCAATTTAGACACATCCACTTTGTCTCATATGAATCCATGTAGTATTTGCATTAAAATCTTCAATACTCTATCAACCAATTGTGCAGAGAAATTGTGAAAATTGACACATTTTACGGCTTTTATAAAATTAATATTTGCATCCAATATATAATCGATATTACACAACACAATAACCAATAATAGTAGTCCAAAAATATTCTTTGTTCTCAATTTTAGAAGTAGATGGTTAGTGTGTAGTGCGGTTAGGAAATAAGATGAATATTCAATAGCAACATTTTGGGTTAATTGCATGGTTGGTCACTGAAATTACATAAAGAGTTCATGTTTGGTCACTCTAAATATTTAAATCCATTTTTGGTCCCTAACTTTACAAAAACCATTCATTTATGGTCACTCTCCGTTAGCTGCCGTCCAACACCGTTAACTGCATCCGTTAAGTGATGATGTGGCTGACGGATTCGCCTAATCAACACTTTTTAACCCAAAAATTGACTGACCCGACCCGCCACGTCATTTAAACCCGCCATTCAGCTAAACCTAACCAAACCTCTAACCAAACCAGACCCGCTAACTAAAACAAACCTGACCCGACCCACCAACTAATCTACCCACCTTTGACTAACCCCTCTCATCCTCTCGCACCACTTCTCCTTCCTCTCGTTCTTCATCTCCCCACCACCCAAAACACAGGCCCAAGCAAAACCAAACAAAAGGAGAAAAAGAGCAGTGGAACAAAAGCTCCGATACCACTTCCACCGCTAAACGTCAAAAGATTCAGGCCACATCCCTGTTGATGCTGGGCGGCAAACTGGTTTCTGTTGACCGCTTTCCTCTCTATATAGCATCGGAGAAATCGGCGTGGCCGTGGTGGAATTTGATTTGAATCTACAAAAATGGAATCCGAAGCAACTGACTAGAAACATAAATTTGAACTTCAATACATTGGGTCTTCTAGGTACGAAACCTGCTGAATGTAATGGGCAACCTTGAAAAGCTTAAAGAAAGAAACTTGCTTTCTGAGTGGATTACAACTCGGAAGATCAATGTCGGCCTTCTTAGCGACGGCGTCGAGGCCATCCTTCTCGATGGTCTTCAAAGCCTTGGTGGACAAACGGAGCTTCGCCCAGCGCTTCCGTGCCTCCCACCAAACCCTCTTGTACTGCAAGTTCACGAACTGCTGCGTCTTGGTCTTGTGGTTGGAGAACGACACCTTGTTTGCCCTGTTCGCTTTCTTACCTGTGAATGGACAGATTATCCCTGCAAAAATACCCAAAACAACAAATATCAATCAGAATCAATCGACCATTTCATTTCCCCCCAATCTACTCAGACCGAAGCAGGAATGGCAGAGTCACGGGCGACAACGGGCTGGAGAGCCGTCTTGAAGGGTTGGAAGGAGCAGGGAGATTCGGAGGAGATACGAATGTCGCTCAATTGGGAAGTGAGGGAGTTGAGGTTTGTAACGGCGGCGGAATTGGAGAAGGAAGAAGTGGAATTCGCGATCAGAGTTGGAGAGGAAGAAAAACAGAAGGGAGGAAGGCGGCGCGGGATGGAGGCGGATGGATTTGTCTTCGATTAGGGTTTTAGTCAAAGGTGGGTAGATTAATTGGTGGGTCGGGTCAGTTTTATTTTAGTTAGCGGGTCTGGTCTGGTTTGGTTAGAGGTTTGGTTAGGTTTAGCTGACATGGAGGGTTTAAATGATGTGGCGGGTCGGGTCAGTCAATTTTGGGGTTAAAAAGTGCTGATTAGGCAAATCCGTCAGCCACGTCATCACTTAACGGATGCCGTTATCGGCGTTGGACGGCAGCTAACGGAGAGTGACCATAAATGAACGGTTTTTGTAAAGTTAGTGACCAAAAACGGATTTAAATATTTAGAGTGACCAAACATGAACGCTTTTTGTAATCTCAGTGACCAACCATGCAATTAACCCAAATCTTAAATACATCAATGGCCTGGCCAACTACTTGCTAGAAACCAGCGACCCCTGCTAACTATTTATCCCATTACCCTTAAAACTAGCAGCCCAATGCTAAATCCTCTAACAACTTTAACTAATCAACTAAGCTATTTGACTTACTTAACAAACAGCCCATACCCATGCTCGTAACGTTAAACGACCCCGATTGATATCAATCGACTCACTAACTATAACTACATTGGTTTATTCTAACAGGGGCGCCATGTCCGTCGCTTATGCCCAAGACGGGAAAATTTCCCTCTCGGGCAAGAATCGAGATATCTCTTAAGAGATAGCTGAATAATTATCTTTCATCATTTTTTCCAAAGAAATAATGGCTAAATTTTTTTGAATAATTTATTCTTCGAATTACATAATAATACATATAACAGATGCAGTGAATTTAAATTATAATCACATTGCTTATCAACTATCAAGTATATACTTAGTACTAACTACATTGATCAATTGGGATAGGTAAGTCATTGAGTAAAGCACGTTCGATAAAAACTTTCCTCGTGAAACACCCTAACTCATTTTTGCATAGAGATTCAGCCAATGATCTAATGACTAATGAGTGTACAGACAGAGTGAGCAACCAAACAAAACCATACACTTCAAACAAATGGGTGGACCAATATAATGGGCTTGGTCTGGTCTTTACGAATGTCAAGGCCCACTTGAAATCGTGTAAAATTATGGGGCCAAGGCCCCATCTGGCGATGCAAAGATTTTCACCCATCGCAGTCGCAGCAACAATCGATCACACATCTAGAGCCAAGCGCAAAATTGGGCTTAAGTAACACGAGATATATTGGCCCAAAATTCCTCTTCTAATTTTACTCAGAAGAAGCCCAATTCAATTTTAGCCCACACAAAACATTAATATTACTGAGAGCAAGCCCAATTCAGTTTTACCGTTCTAGAACCAAGCTTTCCGATTTAGTCTTGTGTTGGATTAAATGAAGTGAAAATGCAAAGGATCGTATGAATACTAGTCATGTGTTTGATTGCCCATAAACGTAGAAGTGAGAGAGAGAATTGATTTCAAACACAAACATGTTATTCATATGATTATGGACTAAATTTATATCGTACATGGGAGGTTTTATTGTACAACAATAATTACATAGAAGAAAAAAAAAAGCCTAGGGCCAACTAGCTAGCTAGTTCCCTATCGCCGCCATCTCAACCTCCCCTCCGGCCACGTAGGGGACCACCCGCTCCCTACAGATGGGGCAGGTGGAGTGGGTGTCAAACCACCGGTCCACACAGGACTGGTGGAAGACCTGCCCACAGTCTGGAAGCCGCCGCACTACGTCTCCATCCCTGTAATGCTCCAGACAAATTGGACAGGTGGCCTGCTCCTCCTGCCCTGAAAACTGGCGTAAGGGAAGAGTGCGGCGGATGTGGCGCGACAAAGGTCGTGGTCGTCCCACGAACCAACTCCAGCCCCAGCTGAAGACAGCGACAGCCAAAACCGCGATCACCATCAGGCAGACCACTGCTCCCATGATGATCAGCCCCGCGTAATCTGCATAACTTTTGCCCTTGGTCGGCATCGATCTTTTCGGGCTGTTATGCGATCGATGGATACTGAAAATATCAAAGGGGGAGAAAATGGAAGAAGGGGGCGAGGAACAGGAGAAAGCTTAGCTATCCATCTTAATTATTTATACAGGCGGAACGGAACGGAACGGAAGCATCTGCATCTGCATGCATGGCAATTAGAGTAAAATCTGTAACAGCCTCCTGCAACCGCCTTTGGCCCATTGCAGTTTCCGGTCGAGTGGGCCTTGGCAACACGTAAAGGCCAGCCGCCAGCCCATTTAAGATTCCGGGGAAGTTAGGATTTTGCCACAAGGGTAAGCATAAGCATGCATGGGAACCTCGTGAGTCGTGACGTTACAAGGGAGGGTTGATCGATGGACTTACTCTTGGCAGTTGGAAGCATAATTTGTAGTAGGGCTGGGTAAATAGACCAGACCGTTAGAAAAACCGTGGTCCAAACCGTACCGTGCAGTTTGGTCCGGACCGTAAACCGTTAAGTGTGGTCTGGTCTGGTCCATGGTCTGTACTATTTTATATTTTGATCTCTTGGTCTGGTCTGGTCTAGACCGCGGTTTACCGGACCAAACCGTGGACCCAACTGACTTGTAAATACGTGTTAACAGCCCATTCGACCACTCTCCCAACTCCCAAAACGACACCCAAGTCTCTACCTTAGTTTTGTGAATCTCGTCCCTCCTTAATTCACAACCACATTTAACTAGAGAGTAGAGATAATCGTGTATCCATATGACATTATGTTAATGTTTATGACGTTATGGTGCAAGTTGGGATGCTTTTACTTTGTATCTTTGGTATGTACTAAGATTTAGAGTATCAAAATTATTCATGCATGTTAGGATTAATGATTTAAGGCAAATAACAATTATTTTTCCTGGTTATTGGTTCAATTTTTTGTGTGGTTGACTAAACAAATTATTCATTTTTCGTTGAGTGTGATCTATCTGGACCAGACCAGACCAAACCAGACCGCACATGCGTGGTCTGGACCGAACCGTATAGTTTGTGGTCTGGTCCGTGGTCTATACTTTAGCCTCTCGGTCTGGACCATAGACCGTATAGATGGTCTGGTCTGGACCAGACCGCACCGTTTCCCAGCCCTAATTTGTAGCTTTGTGAACTTAATAATTTGTTACTTTATTTTATTTTTCATATATGCTCATATCATATGCTATCAATAATAACAAAAATCAAACTTATTTTTGTCAGATTTTCTGTCCAAAGATTATTAATCCGAATCAGATCGTTGGCGTCATTTTCTGCCATAATAATTCCACCACCACCACCTCTAATAATTGAAAATGAGACCCTACGCTAGCTTCAAACCGCGAGATCAGCAAATTCAAAAGTATCACTTTGGTGATGGTGGGGAAGATACTTTAATTTGTTTTCTATATATACTTACCCAAATTAATCAGGGTGGGTAATCGCAGCGGCGGGTAGTGTAACGGGTCAACTTTCTTTTGTTTTGTTGTTAAATGAATTGTGTAAGTTGGATAGATTTTTTTTATTCCAAATTGATTCACCCAACGAAACGATGTTGATATACTATTCGTCCACATTTTTTCCGAATTGGATTGGGTGGTGGGTTAATCCGAAAAAACAATTCATCGACTAGATATTAGTCAATGGAAGAACCCAGTTGATTTCTTGGCAAGTTTCTTTGGTTCGGTTACCACCCGTCTTTCTTTCTCTTCTCTATATTAACAAGGATTAAAACCTAACAGATCAAAGACCAATTAGGAATTTCGAAAAATAGATGACCAGTGAACAGCCAGCAATGAAACAAAAGGGTGAAGTTAATGACCAATAAGTAAGAAAACAAATTTCAAGTGACAAAAGTGAAAGAAATTGATGAACCAAGCGACCAAAATTGCAATTCACCTATTACTATAGTATATATATATTTACATTTTGTTTTTTGATTAAATATTTTAAATCCCAGGCTCCCAGTCTCCCACCACCATGCTGTTATTTTCTTTCTCCCAGTGAAGCTAAAGTGGCCTACCTTTTCAATCCATTGCTTAGCACGTACTTACCCTTTAATTTGTAGTAAATAAATACTCCCCAAGCCCCCGCCTTCCACCCATCCCCCCCAATTAATCTTGCTGCAGTGCTCAACGTACATCTCCACTCTCTCCAGTCTCCACTCCCATCTCTTCTCAATCCCTCTCTATCTTTTCCACAAACAAGCAAGCGGTTGCAGAAAAAGTAGGCCAACCAAATTAAATAAACAAAATGCCCACAGTACCCTTCTTTTGGAGGAACCTCCTGCAATGCCTCCCCAGTCCCACCACCACCGCCGCTCCGGACCCGCCTCCGCCCGCCACGTCATCACCCATTCTCTTCAGCACCAACCACAACTCCCTCTTCGACATATCCTCCTCCTCCTCCACCTCACTCCTCTCCTCCGCCACCGCCACGTCCACTGACTCCTCCGAATCCGACAACTCGCCTCATCCCCCGGATTTCGCAACCGTCTTCGCCTCCCATCGCTTCTTCTTCTCCTCCCCCGGCCTCTCCAGCTCCATTATTATCTCCAATCACGACAACAAGATCGCCGCACCAAACCCTCCTCCGTTGGAGGGTGGCGTGGCGGTGAAGAAGTACTCGCCGGATCCGTACGCGGACTTCAAGAAGTCGATGGTGGAGATGATCGAATCGCGGCGGATCAAGGACGCCCGCGGGAACTGGGATTACTTGCACCAGCTGCTCTCCTGTTACCTCGACATGAACCCCAAGAACACTCACGGTTACATTATTGCCGCCTTCGCCGACATTGTCGTCCGTTTGCTGTCCACGTCACCGCCGCCAGATGTACTCCACCAGACGAGTCCCCGCCCCCTGCCGGCAGCACCGTAGTAGCATTCCCAACTTGGAAATCGTGTAACTTAACACATTTCACTCTTTTTTTTTTTTCTCTCTCTCTTATGTGACTATGTTAATTATTATTATTTTCAGTAATATAAATATGAGACAATATCAATGTCGGCTAATGCGAACGGAGTGGAATGCAAAATGGCCGCCGTTAATCGCCATGTTCAGCTGACACGACCAGAATCTGAAACACTGGTTATGGTTCCAGAGAGTTCAGTTCCAGCTGTTTCGATGGGATTTAGTTAATTAATTATTCGTTAGGGACGTTAAATTAATAAATTGAGTTAATTAATTAATAATCCCCCCGCGCGACTTGTATTTTTTTTTCTTTCTTTGTTTACCTTTTTGCTGCGTGGTGTTTGGTAGTGAAATTTGGTTTTATCTGGCGGTAGGTGTAATGTAAGCAATAATGCAGAAGGAGAAAGGTCAGAGATTATATATATGCTGATAATTGATCATATAAGGCGAAATACAATTATGCATAATAATTAATTAATTCAGTGACTAGTGAGGCGTGGAGTGGAGTGGAGGAGTGGCGATGTGTCTCGATGCATAATTTAGTTTGTCATTTTGTAGGAGGAAATGTGTGCCCACCTCGATGCACGGTTGTATTATATAAGTGCATGCACTCAAGACAAAATAAGAAATGTTGGCATCTCATCGGTACTGTTGATGTTGATATGACTTGAATCGGACTATCGGTCGCTACGACTGGTAATCGGGGGTCTCACGATGTATGGGCTCAATGTTATTTGGGTTCGGGTTCTGGGCCTGGTCTGTAACCATTTCCTTTGCCATATTGGATTAGGTTTAGACCCACATGGAGAAGTACTATAAATACTTCTCATACTCCTCTGTAATCTGTAATCTCCTTGATATAGTAAAACTGGCTCTCTCTCGCCCGTGGACGTAGCTAACACACATCGTGTTAGTGAACCACGTAAATCGTGTGTCGTGTTTTTTATTCTCGCTTTCGTATTCTTGCTTTGTCGATTCCTGCGATTTTCCGATCCGTAGCAGCGCGTTTATAACAAGTGGTATCAGAGCCGCGGCTGGAAATCAGGCTAGGGTTTTTGTCGATTTAGAAGAATGACGTCGGTGAACATGAAGATCGAAAAGTTCACGGGGAAGAACAGCTTCGCTATATGGCAGATCAAGATGCAGGCTTTATTAAAACAGCAAGGGCTGTGGGGGCCGCTGTCTGCGAAACAGAAGAAGGCAGCGGTCGATGACGATGAGTGGAATACCCTGGAGGAGAAGGCCCACTCGACCATCATGCTATCGTTGTCTGATGACGTCATCATTGAAGTCGCTGCTAAGAAGACTGTCGCGGGCTTGTGGTTAAAGTTGGAGAGTCTGTATATGACAAAGTCCTTAACCAACAAGCTGCATCTCAAGCAACGGTTGTTCAGCTTGAGGATGCAAGAAGGTACGCCTTTGAGGGAACATCTCGAACAGCTTAACTCTATTTTGCTGGATCTGCGTAATATAGATGTTCAAGTTGATGACGAGGATGTTGCCCTAATCCTGCTGGTTTCTTTACCGAGTTCATATGAGAATTTTGTTGATTCTTTTATTGCTGGTAAAGAAAGCGTGTCGTTGGAGGATGTCAGGTCTGCTCTTCATACGAGAGAGATCAGGCATAAGGCGTCCGGATCTGGTACAGGTGGTGAGGCATCGGGTTTGGCTGTTACAGGTGGAAAGGGAAAGAAGAAATCTGGTAAAGGGAATTCAAACAAGAATTCCAAGGGTCCCGGTCCACAGCCAGGTGATGCTTGTCACAACTGTAAGGAAGTGGGGCATTGGAAGTACAATTGTCCCAAGAGAAGAGGGCAACAGAAGAAATAAGGTTCAGTTGCCGTGGCAGAAGTGGACAACCGTTCTGAAGACGATCTCGCCTTGGCTGTAGATGAGAAGGCACATCGTGGGGATGTGTGGTTTATGGATACTGCAACCTCATACCATATGTCTCCGAACAGGGATTGCTTCGCAACCTAAGAGCAGATAGATGGTGGTAACGTGGTCATGGCAAATGGAGCTGTCTGCAAGGTTGTTGGAATCGGGTCCATAATGGTTCGGACACATGATGGTTCGTTCTGTACCGTGAATGATGTCAGGCATGTTCCACGAATGACAAAGAACCTGATCTCCTTGAGTCTACTCGACAGCAAGGGTTTCAGTTTCAAAGGAAAAGGTGGAGTTGTGTATGTCTGCAAAGGTTCAAGGAAGGTGCTGAATGGCGTGAAGCGTGGGACCTTGTATGCATTACAAGGGTCTGTGTTGTCCGGTTCTGCTGCAGTTGCATCATCTCAGGTTGATCAGGAAGATATGACCACTCTCTGGCACATGAGACTGGGGCATATGAGTGAACGGGGGATGCAAGTTCTGTCGAAGAGAGATCTTCTTTGCGGGCACAAGATGCAGAATTTGGAATTCTGCGAGCATTGTGTGTTTATGAAGCTACATCGCAGCAAGTTTCCCAAGAAGGGTATCCACCGGATGAAGGGGATACTGGATTACCTCCACTCTGACTGTTGGGGTCCTTCACGAGTTGAATCCATTGGAGGCAGCAGGTATTTTCTATCTATTATTGATGATTATTCGAGATTTACTTGGATTTTCATGATGAAGCAGAAAAGTGAGGCCTTCACGAAGTTCAAGCAGTGGAAGACATTGGTGGAGAATCAGACCGGGAAGAAGATCAAGAAGCTGCGAACGGACAATGGTCTAGAGTTCTGTAATTTTGAGTTCAACGAATTCTGCAAGGATGAAGGGATTGCCCGTCATCGGACTATGAGAGATACACCCCAGCAGAATGGCGTTGCAGAAAGGATGAACCAGACGTTGTTGGAGAGAGCACGGTGCATGCTCTCTAATGCTGGACTAGAGAGAAGATTCTGGGCAGAAGCAGTGAACATGGCGTGCTTCCTGATCAACCGTGGACCTCACACAGGTATTGAGTTGAAGACTCCTTATGAGGTGTGGTATGGTAAGCCTGCTGATTACTCTTCACTGAAAGTTTTTGGGTGTCATGTTTATTATCATGTGGATGAGGGTAAACTGAACCCAAGGGCAAAGAAGGGTGTATTTGTGGTTACGGAGATGGAGTTAAGGGATTTCGAGTCTGGTCACCTTCTGAGCATCGAGTTATACTCAGTAGAAATGTGATATTTGATGAGAAGTCTATGTTTAACCCCATGTTGAAGGTTACTATTGTTGAAGGTAGCAGGAATGTTGATAAGCAGGTGGAGCTGCAAACTCTCAATGAGAGTAAGTTTGAGAACCAAGGTGGAGAAGATCAACATGATGAGGATGTCTCTGCAGAGCCAGAAACTTCAGAGTCCAGTGCACGAGCTCAACAGTCTATGGCTTCCGGTAGACCGAAGAGAGCGACTGCAGGAGTACCTCCACAGAGGTATGGTTTCGAGGACATGGTGGCGTATTCATTTCAGGTTGCTGAAGAAGTGGATGCAGGAGAGCCACAGTCCTATAGAGAAGCCATTTCGGGTGGCGAAGCTGATCAGTGGCGTGCCGCAATGGGAGATGAGATGGAATCCCATGACAGGAATCAGACTTGGGAGCTAGTCAAACGACCACAGGGAAGGAAGATTGTTACAAACAAGTGGATCTACAAGAAGAAGGAAGGAATCACTTCTAAAGAGGGCATGAAATTTAAAGCTCGGGTGGTTGCACGAGGCTTCTCGCAGAGGGAAGGAGTTGACTACAATGAGATTTTCACACTAGTGGTCAGACATACTTCGATCAGAGTGCTACTAGCAATAGTGGCACATTATGACTTGGAGCTCGAGCAGCTAGACGTGAAGACAGCTTTCCTACATGGAGAGTTGGAGGAAGAAATTTACATGACTCAGCCAGAAGGATTCGAGGTTCCGGGAAAAGAAGACTATGTTTGTAAGCTGAAGAAGTCCTTGTATGGACTTAAGCAGTCTCCGAGGCAGTGGTACAAGAGATTTGACAGTTACATGCTTGAGCTGGGCTATAGCAGAAGTCCATATGATTGTTGTGTGTATCACAACACGGTGGAGGATGGTTCGATGATATATCTAGTTATGTATGTGGATGATATGCTCATAGCTGCGAGGTCGAAGTCTGATATCCAGAAGCTAAAGGGGCTTCTAGTGCTGAGTTTGAGATGAAGGATTTGGGAGCTGCTCAGAAGATCTTGGGTATGGAGATTTACAGGGACAGGTCGAAGAAGAAGCTTTTCTTGTCACAGAAGAGCTACATCCAGAAGATACTGTCGAGGTTTGGCATGTCTTCAGCAAAGCCCTTAAATACTCCCAGTGCTTCAAATGTTCATCTATCCTCAGCTTATGCACCGCAGTCAGAGGCTGAGAAGGAGTACATGTCGAGAGTCCCATATGCTAGTGCATTAGGTAGCTTGATGTACGCTATGGTATGCACTAGACCTGATCTTGCACATGTTGTTAGTGTTGTCAGCAGGTTTATGATACAACCTGGGACGGAGCATTGGCAGGCTGTGAAGAGGATCTTCCGGTACCTTAAGGGTACACCTGATGTGGGGATTAGCTTCGGAAGTGATAGAGAGTGCTTGGTGTCTGGGTATTCTGACTCGGACTATGCTGGAGATGTTGACACGAGGAGATCGATGACCAGTTATGTATTCGCTCTTGGGAGTTTTGTAGTGAGCTGGAAGGCAACTTTGCAGTCAGCGGTGACTTTGTCTACCACTGAGGCAGAGTATATGGCGTTGACAGAAGCAGCTAAGGAGGGAATATGGTTGAAGGGACTGGTTGGTGATCTGGGTCTACATCATGATCAAGCAGTGGTGTATTGCGACAGTTTGAGTGCAATATGCTTAGCCAAGGATCAAGTCCACCATGAGAGGACTAAGCACATCGACGTGAGGTATCATTTCTTGAGGACAGAGAAGAGGATTAAGGTGAAGAAGGTTGGCACCGCGGATAATCCTGTTGATATGTTCACGAAGTCGGTTCCACATGGCAAGTTCCAACACTGCTTGGACTTGCTGAATGTCTTGAGTGGGTGACTCCGCCCTGCGGGGCATTGAAGTCGGTTTGTTGATATGACTTGAATCGGACTATCGGCCGCTACGACTGGTAATCGGGGGTCTCACGGTGTATGGGCTCAATGTTATTTGGGTTCGGGTTCTGGGCCTGGTCTGTAACCATTTCCTTTGCCATATTGGATTAGGTTTAGACCCACATGAAGAAGTACTATAAATACTTCTCCTACTCCTCTGTAATCTGTAATCTCCTTGATATAGTAAAAATTGGCTCTCTCTCGCCCG